TTTTATTGAATATTTAATAGTTGACCGTTGCATTATAAAGAAGGAGATGGTCCGGGGTTGCGGCCATAAATAGGCTAAATAGTGGTAAAACTATTTTATTGAAAGCCAACGTTTCGACCTGACTTTGAAGGTCTTCATCAGGGCTAGAACGGACAAGATACAAAAAGATAGAGAATTGTGGCAATTACATAATATTTAGACGTAATTTATAAACAATGTGAATAAGCTTATTAAAATTATAAACAGTAAGTACAATAAAATATGGACTAAGTAAGCTAAGTAACAAGATCCTAAACTAAAGTAAATAGATGCTAAAATAGTGATAAAACTATTTTATTGAAAGCCAACGTTTCGACAAGACTTTGCAGGTCTTCATCAGGGCTAGAACGAAATTGTTATCATCTATTTACTTTAGTTTAGGATCTTGTTACTCAGCTTACTTAGTCCATATTGTATTGTACTTACTGTTTATAATTTTAATAAGCTTATTCACATTGTTTATAATTTATGTCTAAATATTAAGTAATTGCCACAATTCTCTATTTTTTTGTATCTTGTCCGTTCTAGCCCAGATGAAGAACTGCAAAGTCGGGTCGAAACGTTGGCTTTCAATAAAATAGTTTTACCACTATTCAGCCTATTTTTGACCGCAACCCCGGACCATCTCCTTCCTTTATTTTTTTTTTTAGTTTTGGCACGCAAAGATAATCCTTAAAACTTATAATCTGCAATTAAAATTCGCCAATAATATTAGTTAGTTCTATTTCAAAGTGGCGATTAGAAGCTTCATAACCCTATTCATAACACAGTAATTCGTAAAGATAAGGAAAAATATTTTCTTCTTAATTGTAAACTGTTGCTTTGCAACAATGACTTTGCAGGCATTGTAGATGTAATATCTTAAATTAATAAAATTGTTGTTATATTGAAATTCTTCTCTTTTTTTGTAATTAAATTAAACATTTCATATTTCAGTTTATTTTCTTCCTACTTGATGTTACTTTTATTTCAGGGCATATAGCTAATATTTTACCCTATCTGCTTAAGCCTATATGGTATCGCATGGTATTTAAGAATGCTATTGTAACATTTTGGACCCAGTTTTCCATTTATTCACAAGAGGTCTCCAACTCCAGATCTATCACTTCCGTGTTTTACTGTTGGTTAGAAACATTCTTTTAAAAAAATGAACTCCAGATTATCCAAAAGATACTACCTCCTGCTGAACTATTTTTTTTTTAATTTTGACTCATCACTAAAAATGTGTTTCATTCTTCTTCCGTCCATTGTTCTTGTTCTTTGGTAAACTTAAGTAGCTTTGACTTGTTCAGAGGTCGAAAAAATGATGTTGTTGATGGTGCACAATTTCAAAGGCCAGATAAGAGAAGTTTCCTTCTGATCATAGAGAACAAAAATTTGGTTTGCTCAAGGTATATTAAAGTATTATTTAATTGATCTGTATATAGCTTGGTATTTCTGAAAATAGTTATATACAATATTATCGCATACTAAAATGTTTAGACAATTCCACGTCCCCTGTGTTATTGCACAATCTAACGATCTAGAAGCCCTCTAAATACCTCAGGATGTCAAGGTTAATGGAATTGTGAACTGGGACGAGAACTCTATCCACCGAATAATCTTCAGATGTGGTTCTGATCTGACGCCTCTGTGTCGCATCAACCTCAACATATTCATCCGCCAAGTTTGATTAGCCCAGAGGTAACAGCCTTTTGATGTAGTACATAGCTTGGGATACATGTTCATCTCTTTGGCTACGGCTACATGACATGGCTACACATCATATCTATATGTTAAACGTATTATGGATATGAATATTTGAACTTTAGAGGTAGACGTTTTTTAAAATTTAATTTATAAAAAAAATACTGTACTACTACAACCCATGAAAATTCGGGTCTTTTGGGTTCAGTACTTTGTCAGGAAGTACCAAGAAACAGCCAACAGTTATTGTTTAATTTATAAAGCCAATCTCTTCTAACGGCTGTAAAGGATATTGAACTAATAATCATGCTGTAGGGCACTGGTTCTAAATTGGTGGACTGTATATAAAGGTATTTCATTATAATTAAATAGTGGAGTTGAACAAATTGCTATATTATAATTTGAGTTATTAAAGCCGGATCTATTACAATAAATGGTTAGTATATTAATACATCTTTTTTTTATTATTATTATTTTATTGAAATTTACAACTGTAAACTTACATACAACCAGTAAACCTGCTATGGGAATATATTACATGAAGGTAATTGTGAAGAAGCTACCCATTGGTAATATTTTAAAGATAAATTAATTTAGGAGGTCCCTTGGCCATCTTCTTTTCAGACGCTTCGGATGGTTGTCAGGAATTATGTTGGATGAAAGGTTACAAACTAGAGGATTGGGGTGACTAAAGAGTTTGGAATGAAAAGAGATATGTCTAGTTCGGGCCAAGTCTATAATAAGAGGAATGTTGAGGTCTTTATGGATAATTTTATTTGTTACATAATAAGGAGCATTTAGGATTTTACGGAGGATTTTGGATTAACCCCAGAGCTCAATACCGTATGTTCAAATGGGCCTGATGATGGTAGTGTAAATGAGTTTTTTTGTAGAATAAGTAAGTGTTGTAGTAGTCGGAATCTATTGGCAGTTTCATGTCTTTTAAGTCTAGTATGAGGATTATAGGTAAGGCGTTTGTCAAGAAGGAGTCCTAGGTAACGGATCTGTTCGACAGGGATCAGTGGAATATTGTTTAAGGACACGGTGGGACAGGATGTTGTAGGTTTACGGCGAAGGATAAAACTAATTCGTTGAACTTAGCTTGGATTAATTTTAATTCTCCAATTTTCACACCATTCTTCAATGTCTGAAATGTGAGACTGCAGAGTTTGTGATTCAATAGTCGTTTCATTTTAGACAGATAACACACATGTGTCATCAGCATAGGTAGTGAGGACGGTTGAAAGATGGTAGGGATATCAGCTGTATATGCTGTGTAAAGGAAGGGACCTAAGATGCTCCCTTGTGGAATTCCAGCGTTAATAATTTGGTCTACATATTACAATTTACTTTAACTGAAGTGGATTAGGTGGTGGCTGAAAATTAATTACTTAGGTACTTGTTGCTTCTTGTACTCATTCTTCTCTCTCTCCCCCCGGTCTTCTGGCCTCTTGAGGCACTACTCCATATTTTCTTCTTATGAAGTATCTAGAAATATGCTTCTTCTCTGTGCTTGTAGCTTCTCTTGCCTGTCAAGAGATGGCATCAGTGCTGCTTGACACTTTACTAAATTCAAATTAAATAAAGTGATTATGTTCCTTTAACAGTACTAGGGTGCTCAGAGATATCAGATGTGTAGAGAGAAAAGAGAAGAGGTGTTAAAACACTACCTTGTGGAACGCCTGCAAGTTGAGAAAAGAAGGGATATGTAGATGAATCGATAGAAATACAGAAGTACCGGTCACAGACCTTAATATAGGTATAAATAAAATCATAGATTTTAAAATATTGGTAAATTTTCAGGCGATAAAAATAATAAGAAACGTATGCAGACTCTAGTTACCAGACTTTATAAATTATAAGAACAAATGTGTTTCTTTGATTTAATGGTTAAAGTTTTTATCGCAGACATTCTGGTGATTGTTGTCTCATCAAAAACTAAAAAGAAATAGTCGAGTTGAAGAGCCCGGATCCACGGTTGAGTTACCTAGTTGGTGTAATTTCATGTAACAACTTCTTGGAAAGTATAAGTTCGGAGCGTGACTTCCTATATTCGAACAGCGCTTCGGGATGTCCAGACGTTGTATGTCACATTAAAATTTAAGTACCAGTTAAGGGAGTAATTCTGAAAACGTACAATCGATAAACGTCAATGCTGTGAGACTTGTGTGTCATACTATAGAAAGTTTATAGTTTGTGTTTGTATGTACCATATTTTGCCTTTACTAAGTTTTACGAATTAAAGAGAAGTGAATTTTATTTTACTATTGCTACCAAGACGGTGATATTACTAAGCTCAAATCTAACAACCAGCCTTGAATTTACAATTTGATTACTTATTTATTCAGTAATATAACATTCTGTAACATGGACGATAATTATAGTGAGGTAAGAACACATTCACAGCACATATATATATATATATATATATATATATATATATATATAGAGAGAGAGAGAGAGAGAGAGAGAGAGAGAGAATGTAAAATATACATAATCAAAATGAAAACTGAATAATAATGAAAAAGTATATACTATAAATAAAACTAAAATAACTTAAAAAAAAAAACAACACAAACATACCAATATACAATATTTACAATCAGGCGAGGAAACTCCATGCTAGGTTTGTTTCTTCAAATATAGAAAGAAAAAAAAGCAGAACTCGATGAGTTTCCTGCTCTACTTTCTCAATCGCGAACGTTTTGATTAAAATTTGATTACAATCCATAAACATTATTGCTATAAGAATTGTTAATCTCTCTTTAAAAGGTTCGTTATCGCTTGTGTCCATTGTTTACAAGATAAAAAATTTTGAATATTTAATATTGTGAAATAGAGTTTAATACATACTGCAAAGCTCAAAACTATTTAACTCCTTTTCCGAATCCTAAAAATTACAGTTTACATAACTACTATCTTTGTTGCTATGGTTCTTTATCGGTGCGAAATGTGACTGCTCACATTAAGCAGAGTATTAAAGTTTTTGAAAATAAAATATTGCGTAGAATATTCGGATCGAATCAGGATTAATCAATTGGATAAATTTGACGGTTACACAACGATAAATATAATATAGTTAAATTCTAAATTGTATTGGGTAATAGAAAAAATTATGATAGTATTCATAAAACTTTTAATAAATGAACAAATTAGAATAAAACCTCTCAGTCATCGGCACCTGATGTATAATAAAGGTGATTGCAGTAAGACGAAAAAAATATGAATTTAAAATGGTTTGCTTCAGTAACCGAAGATGTTAATATCTAAATAAAATGTTAATATCTGGTGTGCCGACTGGTAAACGCTCGAGTGGTAGTCCGAAGCGAAGATGGGAGGATTACATCGAGGCTGATCAACCAAGAGGCTGTAGAAGCAGGTATGTAGACAATGATTGGTGGTAACAGCATCGAATCTTCGGGCTTGTAATACATAAATTGTTATGCAGTATCCTAACGATTACGAGTTCGATTCCTGATAACGGGGGACTAATTAATAAATCTTGCATTAATCCCCCGGCGTCATTAGACTCAAGAATGTTTATGATTTTACACACTCAGCCATAAATTAGATATAATGATATAAATTATGAGAACTATACAAAATTATATGTTTTTTCTTTTTTCAAATTAATTGTCCTTCGCATGACAATGAGTTTTTCCCCAAGTGGGATTTTATCATATGTAGAAGCAGTCTTCGCTTTTTATATTTTTTTGTATAATATAGTATTGATTTATTCATTTATTAAGTACTTATAAATATAATTTCTTCGACCCTACCATGGCTTTCGACTACATGAGTACACTTTTAACACACTTAGACACTTAAACACGCGCAGCCTTCAAGAGCGTCCTATACACATTTTTTTTTTTTTTTAAGGATTAAAATTTCTTTCCTCCTTCATTCCTGATAACCCATCGTGGCCGTCTGAAAAGAAGATGGCCTCGGGACCTTCTAAAATAGAACTTTAATTTGAGTTCTACCAATGGGTAGTTTCTCTTCATATTTTACATGTCATGTTACCAATGTCACGTTTTCTTGTTGTATTTTTAATGTAATACAGTTGTAAATTTCTTACTAAAAAAAAAAAAATTCTTACTCTCATAATACATCAAAATTTAATTATTTCTCTATAGTGGTGGTATTTATGTAACCAGTGCTAAGTATTGTAAACTGGCGCATCAAAATTAATGAATCAAAATGCAAACATGTAACTTTCACTCTTCGACGCAGATCTTGTCCGCCAATCCTTTTTAATTCAATTCCTCTTCCCTACTCAGACACAGTCCGATACCTTGGCTTCCTTCTGGACAAAAGACTGACTTGGAACCCACATACGAGACTTAAAAGACAAGAGCTTAACCGACGATTTGGTCAGCTATATAGACTACTAAACAGAACATCTCATCTCTCAACAGAAAACAAATTATTAATCTACAAGACCATACTGAAACCTATCTGGACCTACGGACTTGAGCTGTGGGGGACAACTAATTCATCGAATATCAAACGCATCCAATCCTTCCAGTCTAAAGTCCTTCGAACAATAGTCAATGCTCCATATTATGTCACGAACAAGACCCTACACCATGACCTTAACATCCCATATGTCCATGACATCATCCCATCCAGATTCTCCAACTTTCACCAGAACCTCATTAATCATCCCTATCCAGCTCCGAACATCCATACCACCCCCCTCGAAGGTTGAAACGGCAGTGGCCTCGAGATGTTTTGTAAATATGCCTTTGGAGTCCTGGCAATGGCCAGCTTCTCCACTCATGTCCTGAGCGTCTGTGGCTCTAGTGCCCTCTTTCAGTCTCCACTGGCTTCTAATACTAGTGATGCGAATACTGGTGATGCTGGAAAAGTGGTGCTGGGATCTTCCGGAGTCTTGCTTTGCCTTCCACGTGTGGGGGAAAAAGCCTGGTTCGGAGATTCTTGGGCGAATATATGTATTGTATATAGTTATGATTGTGTTTAGAAGTTTTTATTTTATTTTATTTGTTTATTATTATTATTATTTTTCTTTTCTTTTTATTTATCTTCTTATATTTATATTTATTTCTTTATTATTTGTATATATTGTATGAATGAGAACTTTTAGCCCTAATGCTTATAGCCCTCCCGCAGTGGCTGATTGTATAAATAGATTTAAAAAAAAAATAAAAAAAAAGTATTGTAAACCTCTTGAATGTGTAAATATTTACGAAACATGTGTAAAATATGGCCGCTCGATATATCGACACTGTCGATCTTTTACGCAGCCTAGGGTCCTGTATAGTGTTGCTAAACGCATATAATGCATGTTCGTAAACGCATGGAAAATGTTATTGTAAGGTTTTTATGTGTTTGTTTCTTTGTTTTTCGTATGTGTAATTTTCCACAAAAATGGACTGTAACGACAACTAGTATTTTATCTATGAATTCAACAAGTTCTTTGCTTTCAGAATCATCTGAATCTTTATTCATGCTGTATATTACAGCAAATAATCTAGCAACTTCCCGTATATTTCACTTCGCTTTGGCATCTTAAAAATAAATTAAAACTAATTTACTAAGCTAGTATTCAATTAAAAACTCATAAACTTTGTTTATAGTAAAGGCACAACCTTAATAGAACTAATAACACTTTAGCACGGAAGCACAGAGAGATTATTAACCATTCATTCAAAATTTGTGCTGACTACTTAGCATGATAGCACAATAAGTGTATGTATACCCTTAATATATTCCTTTCTGTCCACTGACCAGAATACCATAGAAATACTATTCGCTCGGACCAACTAGTAAACATACCTTTTTTTCTTTCAACCCACCCTCATATGTCGTAGTAGGGATATTGAAGGACATACCCACATCCTTTCATCCTGCCAGCTATTCACCTCCTATCCTATTATCCTGGATCCTCGAGCCCTGCCCCGCATATCCTTGGTCCCTCGCTGATCTGCCTCCTCCCCCAGAGGCTCCTGATGGCTGGTCCTTATTGATTGTGCCTGGCGCCCAGTTGACCGCCGCGGGCTCCCTCGTCTGGCGCCCATCCTTCCATGTCTTAAGGGTTCATCCTTCCATGTCTAAGGGTCATATCATTTCTGTTCGCTTAGGTAATGGTTTCTCTTATTTAATCTTCCTAAGATAACATGGAAAAACAGATATATGTTTGCGTGTGTTTATATATATGTATGTAAATATATATATATATATATATATATATATATATATATATATATATATATATATATATATATATATATTTATTAAAGAAATTCGTGACTGCAAATCTTTACAATATTTTCATCATTCAAAATGTTTTAATAAATAAAGGCAAGGAAATTAGGAACATGGAGGTAAATAAGCAGTTACAATAACCTAGGCTTCTTATTCAATACAGTTGCAGGAAGAATAATGCAGATTATAAAAACGAACAAACAATGCAATACAAAATCACGTTTCCACATTGAAAAAAAATAATTAATTAAATCATAGTAAGAACAATAAAATTTAGAAATTGTTTCCTGTTGATTTCTTTATTTAACGAGAACAAAGATGACGTCAATACTTTGTATGCACCTGAAACACCAATCGCGTCATCTTCCTAACAACATGCTAATGATGTTAGACGACCTAACATAATTTGTAAGTGTGTTTAAGCATTTATATTTATTATTATACATCTCAGATCATTGAAAAAAAAAAACGTGAAATCTCAAATTTTGAGAGAGGGTTAAGTTTTTGAATTTTTTGGTCGATCACAATGTTTGATTATTGAAAATCATAAACCAAAAACAAGAACTATGTTTTCGATGAAACTTCCTTCATTTTTTAGGAAATTTAAATACTTTTGAAACATCTTATCACAACATCACCAAAAAAGTGTATACTTTTTGAGTTATTCGGAATTAAATTTTACCATCCCTCGTAACTTTTTCTCCAGTTTCTTTTCGTTGAAGTATGTTATATAGATAAATAAGAAAAGGGCGTAGAAAAAATGACTTTAGCGAAGTTTCATTGAAATCGCTACATTCGTTTAGGTGCTACAGTCTATAGCAACGCAGGTTTTTCGGCCTCTATTTTGAAAGTAAAAGGCGGATAATAATGTCGATGACGGAAGATCATCCTCGGGTGACCTCTGATTTTATATCCAAATTTGAAAAAAATAGGTCCGGTAGTTTCGGAAAAATGCTCGTACGGCGGACGGACAAAAAATTTTTATTCGTTTTTCGAATTCTACGCATCCTGAAACGTGAAACCTCAAATTTTGATAGGGAGTTAAGTTTTTGAATTTTTGGTCGATCACAATGTTTGATTATTGAAAATCATAAACCAAAAACAAGAAGTTTGTTTTCGATGAAACTTCCTTCATTTTTTAGGAAATTTAAATACTTTTGAAACATCTTATCACAACATCACCAAAAAAGTGTATACTTTTTGAGTTATTCGGAATTAAATTTTACCATCCCTCGTAACTTTTTCTCCAGTTTCTTTTCGTTGAAGTATGTTATATAGATAAATTTAAAGGGCGTAGAAAAAATTACTTTAGCGAAGTTTCATTGAAATCGCTACATTCGTTTAGGTGCTACAGTCTATAGCAACGCAGGTTTTTCGGGCGCTATTTTTAAAGTAAAAGGCGGATAATAATGTCGATGAAGGAGGATCATCCTCGGGTGACCTCTGATTTTCCATCCAAATTTTTAAAAAATCGGTTCGGTAGTTTCGGAGAAAATGCGCGGACAGCGTACGGCGAACGGACAAACAAATTTTTATTCGTTTTTCAAATTCTACGCATCCTGAAACGTGAAACCTCAAATTTTGAGAGGAGGTTAAGTTTTTGAATTTTTTGGTCGACCGCAATGGTTGATTATTGAAAATAATAAACCAAAAATAAATTAAAGGTTTGCAATAATTTTTTGTAGTCATGTTTGCTAAATACACGGCTTCTTTTAGGTAACAATATACAAAATTACATACTTTTTTTACACAACTAGAGACGAATCGCAAGTTTTTTACTTTCTCATACCTATATATGCAACATATTGTAGGGTAAGTATTCCGATCTTGAAAATTTTCGAGTCTGAGTTTTCAACGGAAATACATGTTTTCAGATCTCCTTAGTCCAAATAACTAAGTCCCCCAAAATGGTCTCTCTATGTGTGTATGTGAACAGTCTAGCTAAAAAACGAAAAATGGTACAACAATGAAATTGTATATTTAGAATTTTTATGAGCCTTGGATGTTAAAGCAACATTTTCTTCAAAATCGGCAAATCGGAAATGGTACTGTATATTATCGATTTAACACATTTTTACGATTTTCTCAAAAATGGCTCTACCGATTTTGATTAAACTCAGTATATCAGTGTATTATTAAGCAATTCTTAATATAATTTAGGTTTTATTCTCGTTCATGTTCTCTAACAGAGCTTAAATGGCTAGTTTTCATTATTAGCTTTCTCTAAAGTACCTTTAATTTTTTTTATTTAAAACAATCGACTATTTCACATTAATCTCTAATGTAAAAGATAGTTAAATACAAAATATGAAAGAATTTGATAACTAAATAAAGGAGAAATAAAAAACCTAAACGGAGAATAGTTGTAATTGGGGAACCAAAGGAATACGAACTCGCCCAAAAGATTAGGACACGCTTCCATACGTAACATGAGCTTAAAATATACATATGCGGTTTTCATAAATGCGATTGTTGGTATTATGTAATATTTAATTGTATAGTTTACAGCGATTATATATTATTTCTGCTAAGAAGAAGGTGGTAAGTGAAAGTCGTGTAATGCGCGCAACGCACCAGATTTTTCTTTACTTTTTTTTCCAAGTATACGGTATAAAGATTTTTGATTTTAAAATAGTTTTGTTTACACGGTTGGAGTATAGTGCGCATGTTTGTTTCTAAAATCAATTCAGTGGTTCATTTGCAATGCACTGAACACTAGCCGAACCTAACAATAGACTGAGGCCAGAGATCTATAAATTGTTTAGCATGGCAATGGTTGATTCACGTTTGCAGTTTGCTTCATATCAAATAAGAATTATAAAGCAAACAGTGCTGTTTTTAGCCTCGGTCTGTTTGGAATATAAACCTATTAACAAAGGTGTTCTTTTTGAATTTTAAATATTTTTTTTTTATTCAGTGCTTTGGTAGATGAATCATCAATATTGATTTTCCACATTCCTTCGTCCAAGCCTATGTTTAATTTCATGACATCATATTTTATAAATAAATTATAATGAAGAGAAGAATAGTTGGGGTGTTCAGTCAAAAAGGAAGGCAAAAATAAATGATAATATTTATTTTTTTACATATGCCGACGTTTCAACCTGAAGTTCAGGCCTTCATCAGGACTAAGAAAATAACCAGATAACAAGGTATGAGAAACATAAGTAATGATGGTAAAAAAGATAATAAAAAATAAATAAATAAAATAAAATAAAAAAATTAGAAAAATAAAATAGATAAATATAAAGTAAAATGAAATTGTTAGAATAATGACTAAGAACTAAGAGATAAATAATAACAACCGTTACAACGTGTGGAATGATGAAGTAGGCATAATCAAAAAGGGTGACACAAGTGTTACAATGGGAATCTTAGAATAAAACGTAGAACATAAAAAAGAAATATGAAGTTATATAAGAAATGAAAATAAATAGTAAAATTAAAACATTGAGAATGGAGTAGTTAGATAGAAAATTGAGATATTGTAAAGTCTATCAAGATGTACAGACAATGTATAATATAATAAAGAGTTAAAAAGAGAGAAAAGGAATGAAAGGAAGGAGGGAAGAAATTGAGAAAGATGAAATAAGAAATAAATAAAAGAAGTACTACCTGTCTCCTTAAGTGTCGCAGGGAGAATAAAAGTCGTTACAAGGGAGGGGGAGAGAGAAGAGATGTGTAGGTGGCGTCATCCACCGACGTCGAAACGTCGGCATATGTAAAAAAATAAATATCATTTATTTTTGCCTTCCTTTTTGACTGAACACCCCAACTATTCTTCTCTTCATTATCCACGACATTCAACCAATTACCAATTATAAATAAATTATAATTAATAATTGTAATTGATCGTACCCGAGCTCGCCCGAAAGATTATAACAGTCTTTCATACGCAACATGGGCTTAATATAATACGGACTCCAACAATGTTATATAAATATAGATATGAGGGTTTCATAAATGCTATTGTTGGTAATATTTAATATTTAACTTTGTAGATTACACAGATATAAATATTAAAATTTGTATATATAAGAGTACCTATACAAATTAAAATACCCACAATTAAATATAAATAATTATAGCGTCTATAATTTTTACTTTCATTTCTCCTTCGTCTAAAAATAATTATTTCTGCTAAGAAGAGAACGGTGAAAGTGAAAGTTGTTTGATGCGCTCACCGCACCAGATTTTTTATTTTGGTTATTATGACTGAACCATTGCAATCGAATAGGGAAAGAAAAGTAAAGTTCTTGTTCTCAAAATATAGTTTATTCACTGTGCAAACCATTCATAGGGGTCAACTAGTTAAAATTATATGCTAATATCATTATATATCAAACAACCTTAAAACGTCCATTATCATCTCCACATTATGATAACTGTAGTTAACCAGACGTATTTCAAGCAATTTCGTTGTTTCATTATAATCGGTTACGTTATAAGTTTTTTCTAATTAACTGCTAATATCGAAGTACTGATACAGGTCAGTGGGCCGTATCGTGGTCCTTCCTGCCAACCCCCGACGGCTTCCTTGAGGTTGAGGAATGAAAATTGACGCAAGTGGGAATCGAACCCACAACGTTCAGAACCAGACACTCCGAGACCCACTCCCCCAACGTGCTCGGTTCGTCCCCTCCTCAATATCGAAGTATCATATTAAAAAATGTCACGGCTCTTAAAATTAGTAAGCATAATGTATCCCAAGTAACAATTTATAATAATAAATTCTATTGAAGGATATTAGCGGCTTAGAAAAGGCAGGTTGGTCAATACTTTCATATTTTATTTGTAAGATTCGTCCATCTTTCATATATTTCTAGAAGAGGGCAATTTAGAGCGTCTTCACATGTCCGTCATTTTTCAAGCAATAACTGTGACATGACAGCCTAAGTTTAATAAAGTTTT